AAATTCAGGTCTGTGAAAATGGAGATGTGTGGCGGTGAGGATCAGAGGGAATAGGAGACAGTGTCAGAGACAGGTAGGTAGGTGGGAGGGGGAGAGGGAATGTTAAACTGCTGATAGAATGTAGCTCATAAAATGTAGAGAGGTTACCTGGGGTTATTTGATGTTAGGCAGGTTATAATGTTCCATAAATCCAATGTCTATACTTAGTCCATGATTTTTTGTATCCAGTAGATTGATGAAGTGAAGTTCATAGGCTCATCTACAAAAGGTGTTTTGTAAATTCCTTTTGAGGATTAGAACTGAGACGGTGGTTTTCTTGTGAGAAATGTGCCCCCATGATAATTGGGTATTTTTGTCTATAATGGATTTTTGGTGTGCATTCATTCTGGTGCACAGTTGTTTGGTTTCTCCTACATATTTTTCATCAGGGCATTTATTGCAGTGGATGAGGTGTGTACCATTTCTGGAGGTGCAGGTATAAGATCCAGGAATGGTCATGGTTCTGTTGTGGGGTGTAGTAATTGTGGGAGTTGGGGAGATATGTTGACAGGTTTTACATTTCTTGTCCTAGCATGGTCTGGATCATTCAGTGTGCTTTGGGCCAGTGTTTCCCAACCTCTTTCCAGCCCTAGGCACACTTACATTTAATAAAAATTTTCTGTGGCACGCCTGTTAAGACATTACTCATCTTCATACCTATTGTAGCTCATTGCCATAGCAAATTCAGCAGCACACCTGTTCATTTTTGATGGCACACTTTTGTGCTGCGGCACACTGGTTGGTAAACAGTGCTTTGGGCCATTGGAAGTTTGCTTCTAGTGATGAGATTGGTGAGGGTCAGTAATTATTTAAAGGCTAGGCTGGGTGGTTGTGGAAAAATCTTTAAGAATTGGGTCTTCTAGTATGGGTTGTAGTTGTTTGAGGATTTTTGTATAGGTTCCAGGGAGGGGTGATATGTCATTTGCATTTTCACAGACCTGCATTTTGCATGTTGGCTTCCATTCCACCCAGGAGAGCACACACAACACCAGCAGATTCTCCCTATGCCTGAAGAAGGGTGTTTGTGCCTAAAAGCTTGCAAAGAACAATTTTTCCAACTATTTAGTTGATCTAATAAAAGATATTGCATTTACCCAAAGAACCTTATCTGCCTATGTCCTTAGATCAACACAGCTGCAACCAACATCCACAAAGACATTAACTTTTAGGCCCCTAGGGAGAAGCAAAATAATTGAATAAGAAGCACATCATCACCCTGACTAGAGCAGTTAAGTCTCTCATCGCTACTGAAAAGAGGTTGACTATTACTTGCTATAGTCAAAGCTGTATTGGTGTTTTCATCACAAATTAGTGATTAAGTATTACATGTTGTTGAAAGGCATGTTTTGGTGTCTAATAGTTTCATAGTAGTTAGGGGTCAGAAGGGACCTGAATAGATCATCTAGTCTAACCCACCGCCACTGGTTGGAGCACACACTGGGATCACATGACCCCAGACAGGTGTTCATCCAACCTCTTTTTGAATTTACTCAAGGTAGGAGCGAGGACCACTTCCCTAGGAAATTGGTTCCAGATCCTAGCTACCCTGAGAGTGAAATAGTGCCTCCTAATCTCTAACCTGAACCTATTCTCCAGCAACTTCTGGCCATTGTTCCTCGTCACCCCTGGTGCTGCTTGGGGGAATAGGACCCTTCCTATTTGCTACTGATCTCCCCTAACGAGTTTGTAGGCAGCCACCAAATCTCCCCTCAGGCTCTGTTTGCTGAGGCTGAACAGGTTCAGGTCCCTCAGCCTCTCCTCATAGGGCCTGCCCTGTTGCCTTCCAACCAAGCGCGTGGCCCTCCTCTGAACCCTCTCAAGCCAGGCCACATCCTTCTTAAAGTGCGGTGCCCAGAACTGGACGCAGTACTCCAGTTGAGGCCAGACCAATGTCACGTAGAGGGGGAGTATCACCTCTCTGGACTGGCTTGAGATGCATCTTTGGATGAACTACAAGGTGTGGGTGGCTTTGCTGGCTGCGGTCTGGCATTGGCGGCTCATGTTCATCTTGGAGTCAATAATGACTCCAAGATCCCTTTCCGCCTCTGTGCTCACAAGGGGGGAGCTCCCCAGCTTGTATGTGTGTTGTGGATTCCTTCTCCCCAGGTGCAGCACCCTGCATTTATCTACATTGAAGCCCATCCTAATAGACTTTACATAGATTTAGTGGCTACTACAGCTGGCTGTTATACTTCTAAAAAATAAATGTACAGCATAAATGAACTAAAAGTTGCAGTAATAGGAGAGGGAATACTTAATTAGTTAACTGTTGATGACAAGATTAAACATGTTTGTCTTTGCTGCCATTATTAAAGTTCCCACATGAATCTAATTAATAAATCTTTGACTCAAATTTCTTTTTGTGACAACAGTTATCATGTGTGATAACAGTCAGTTAAGAGGGCTATAATAAATTGTTTTTTGATTTAATATTAAGCTAAGCTGGGGTATAATGTTGATAATTTGTGACTCCATGCTTAGTGTGAAAGGGAAGAGAGAGCCCCCCCAACTCGCCCCATGCCCTTCCCCGCAACTCACCCCATTACTCACCTTAGGGGAAGTGATGTGCAGCAGCTGCAGTGAGACAGCAGGCTCAGGCATGGTGGTTTCAGAGCTGCCTGAGTCTGCAAATCGGCGGGGAAAGGGGGAGTGGCCAGACGGAGGCGCAGGCTGTTCAAAAGGCATCCAGGAACTCAGCTGTGCATTGTGTGGAAGAGAGAGCACGCCAGCAGGGAGACACAGGGGGATGCCACTAAGAGAAGTCTGGGGAGTGCTGAAGAGTGTGGTACTGGGGAGGCAGTGGTCCACCCAGGAGATGCTCCAGGAGGATGGCCTGGCCAGGCCACCGGCTGCAGTGAAGAAGCCCCAGTGGCATGCCACGGAGCCTTGGGAGGAGGCAGAAGCCCCACTGTGGAACGTGTTAAGAGGGAGGTGTGCGGCATGGGGGCCGAGTGTTGTAGCAGCATGGAACCCACTGGGGACCTGCAAAGAGGGACAGACGCTGGGGGTCGCAGTGGACAGGCATTGCTGCAGGGCTGTGACAACTTGAGGCTGAGCCAGGAGGTAGAGCCATGCAGAGCGGCCAAGGCCAGCAATGAGGGCAGCACCAGGAATGAACTGAACAACCCAGCCTTAGGTTGGACGGGGCCAAGGTGGAAAGGGGTGGGGACCCAGAGGAGGGCCCCACAAGACAGCCGCCAGAGGTGCAGCAGGGAGCTGCTGAGCCCAGCAGGGAGCTGCTGAGCAGGGAGAGCGCACAGGTCCCAGCTGGGACCTGTGCGGTCTGGAAGATGAGACCCAGGACCCTGTCAGTGGATGCTGATTACTTTGTTCAATTGTTGTAATCCTTAAGTTCCTTTTCTGTTGCCATTGGCATTATCCTTAAGTTCCGGATTACCTCATGAGTAAGGCAAGTTTTGTTGCAAAGGCCTGAGTCCATGGTCAAAGGATGGCCTACAAGGAACTTATGGCCGGGAGTTCAACACCCTCAAGAAGCGGGATGCTGCAGGTGAGAAGACCTCGCCCATGAGTGAGACCTCCAGAGACCAAGGGTCATCTCAGCCATGGATGTGGTAAGGGTGGGGTAAAGAGGAGGTTGAAGCCCCACAAAGAAACCCAGGTATGAGATCCCACAGACCACCTTCTGGGAACTGTCTCCCAAGAGAAACATGAAAGGCATGGCAGGAGAGCAGGGGCAGCATTTAGATCATGTGGGTGGTGCCAAATCGGGATCCCACCCTGACATCACTGTGGGATAAGGCACTAGTCAAGAAGGGGCCTGAGCCCTATATCACCTACCAGCGACACTTAGCTTTCTGTGTTAGCCAGCTTTTAAAAAATAATATTGTAGGTTAACCCTAAGAAATAGAGAATAGAATTGTTTGCTTCATGGCAAGAGGATAGCTAAAACCTAATAGATGAAGTTTCTA